AGTTTAACCACTTCTCTTCAGCTTGAACTGGCGCACGAGATAAATTGTTGAACTATTCTACGTGGTTCAGCTACTTCTCAATCTGGTCCCTAATTAATTATCTATCTATAAATGAATTTGGCTTGTTTGTCTGACTGTCTGTAACCGATAAACCTTCAAGACGAAAAATCACACGACCCAAAGTAAAAAATAATGCCTAGAAAATATGTCGATTTTTAAGATTTATAAATCTATCATTGTTTACAGAAAATGCGCAATACTTTGAGATTTACAATTACGAAGAAAAATGGTCGCTTGAAAAGCTAAATTTAAACGCTTAAACTGTTGCTAGCCCCTGAAACCCAAGTGTTTTAAAAACTTGAATTCTCTTTCGACAGATGTTGGTAAAAAGTTAGAAAGTCTAAAATGTAGATAAATGTTGGGTGTTGGATTGAAAACAGATGGAAAAGGATTAACAAGAACTGAGAAAATGATGATCAAATGTTATCATTAGCCTGTGTAACATCATACCCAGAGTATTCCCATTTCTTGCTTAGTACTGGAATTTTTCAATCCTTATTTCAAGACCTTGTGAAAATACAAAAATATTTTAAGGGTTAATATCTTTACATTAAAACTAATCTTTCCCTCTAGGTCTTCAATATTCAAGACAAAATAGGTTTGGTCTAAACTCTATGTTTTGACCTAAATCTCTGGCCATTGACTTTTAATGAAATTGAAAAATGGCTTTCACAGAAAAGAAATGTGTGGTTAAACTGGAGGCGTTATATGGACGCATCCTTTTACTAGTAACCCCGTAGCGAATATGCTATTTTTAACTTTATGCTTCTATTTTATCACATAAAAATGTTTTTGAAATTAGATAAAAAATATTTTACAGAGTACAGATATGAAGACCCCCTCTAGAGTAAATCTAATACAAGCCCAGGATCCCTTTGTTCAAACTAGAACTGTCACGGAGAATTCTCTTTTTATGGTTGCAGAATCCTTACTCTTGATCTTCATATCCTTCCCTGCTGCGAGCTAAACAATACAATCGGGTAAATCTTAAGGTTTTCATTTTTCTACAATAAGTAAACTCAGACATAGTTCATGGCTAATTTAAACCATCTCAACCATATCATCTTCCTCTATACACTGCACACTACATTCATCTCTCAGTTAATATCGTTTATAAAGTCCTGTCAATAATAAAGGAACTGTCTTTGGTATTTCTAGTGACCTTCACAGGCTCGATTCACAACGTTACCATTTATACCTTTATCTGATCAATAATGTTGTCATTGTTTTTAAACTTTGAAAAGTGTTAATTTCTAACAATTTCCTGAATTAACCATCTGAGAAAATAATATTCAAAAAAAAATAATAATTGATATTTTTCGTCATTCTTTATCAGACAAATATATTGAGGGTATCTTTGTGAATCGGACATGTCACTCTATAATTGGAGAGTCATTTGAAATTACGTCTACGGTCTCTTTAAAGCTAGAATATGTATGTATTGCAGAATATACAGTACATCCTATTCTCAGTAATTATTATTTAAAGCCAGAATATGTATGTATTGCAGAATATACAGTACATCCTATTCTCAGTAATTATTATTTAAAGCTAGAATATGTATGTATTGCAGAATATACAGTACATCCTATTTTTAGTTATTATTATTTCTAAAATTCTGTCAGCGTTAAATTAAACATGCGTATAGATAATAATATGAAATGATAAAATCTATAAACAATTTGGTTTTGCTGTTTGGACTTTTTTAAACTACAAACTGAAAGACAGACAAGAGAAAGATATTTCCACAGGTAGTTGAACTATGAACAGTTAATTAAACCATGAACAATTGGTTAAACTATGTAAAGTTAGTTGAACTATGCACAGTTAGTTGAACTATGTACAGTTAGTTTAACTATGCACAGTTAATTGAACTATATGTACAGTTAGTTGAACTATATGTACAGTTAGTTGAACTATGTACAGTTAGTTGAACTATGTACAGTTAGTTGAACTATGTACAGTTAGTTCGTCTACTTTTCCTGCGCTGTCCATATAAACTAAAAGTCAAACCAGCCGTGCCTAGGTTTCACACCATTCATAATATTCAAAGTCTTGCTAAATTTTACCACCGAATCCACAAAATCCATCCAAACTGAAAACAGTGTTCCAAAAATGTTTTACACATTTTTGAATCAAAAAGATTATAGATTGTATATTTGAAAAAAAACTCCAATCTACCAATGATTATGAAACTCCAACCTAACTAGGATAGTGAAACTCCAATCTACCAAGAATCATGAAACTCCGATCTACCAAGGATCATGAAACTCCAATCTACCAAGGATCATGAAACTTCAATCTACCAATGATAAATGAAACTCCAACCTACCAAGGATCATGAAGCTCCAATCTACCAAGGGTCGTAAAACTCCAATCTACCAAGGATCATGAAACTCCAATCTACCAAGGATCATGAAACTCCAATCTACCAATGATAAATGAAACTCCAACCTACCAAGGATCATGAAACTCCAATCTACCAAGGGTCATAAAACTCCAATCTACCAAGGATCATGAAACTCCAATCTACTAAGGATCATGAAGCTCCAATCTACCAAGGATCATGAAACTCCAATCTACCAAGGATCATGAAGCTCCAATCTACCAAGGATCATGAAACTCCAATCTACCAAGGATCATAAAGCTCCAATCTACCAAGGATCATGAAGCTCCAATCTACCAAGGATCTTGAAACTCCAATCTACCAACGATCATGAAGCTCCAATCTACCAAGGATCATGAAACTCCAATCTACCAACGATCATGAAACTCCAATCTACCAAGGATCGTGAAACTCCAATCTACCAAGGATCATGAAACTCCAATCTACCAACGATCGTGAAACTCCAATCTACCAAGGATCGTGAAACTCCAATTTATCAAGGATCATGAAACTCCAATCTTCCAAGGATCATGAAACTCAAATCCACCAAGGATCATGAAACTCAAATCTACCAAGGATCATGAAACTCAAATCTACCAAGGATCGTGAAACTCCAATCTACTAAGGCTCATGAAACTCCAATCTACTAAGGATCATGAAACTCCAATCTACTAAGGATCGTGAAACTCCAATTTACCAAGGATCATGAAACTTCAATCTACCAAGGATCATGAAACTCCAATCTACCAAGGATCATGAAGCAGGGAACAGTGAAAGAGAATCCTAAATTTTCAATTGAAAATGTTGAGGAACTGGAGTGAAAGAGCTTGCATGCAGAAAGTAATAATGTTTCAATACTAAAAATATTTCACAAATAACTCGGTCACTTCTTATACCCTGCAACCCAGCAGACATCTAATAAATTTATGCTTTTAAACTTTACATCAAGAAAATATGTGAACACAAGTTTCTTGAGAATGGAAGGTTTTTTAAATGTTTTATATTGATGAAAGGTTTTGTATTGAAGGAAGGTTTTGTATTAAAGGAAGGTCTTGTATGAAAGGAAGGTTTTGTATTGAAGGAAGTTTTTGTATTGAAGGAAGTTTTTGTATTGAAGGAAGGTTTTGTATTGAAGGAAGGTTTTGTATTGAAGGAAGGTTTTGTACTGAAGGAAGTTTTTGTTTCGAAGGAAGGTTTTGTATTGAAGGATGGTTTGTATTAGAGGAAGGTTTAATATTAAAAGAAGGTTTGTATATTGAAGAAAATAAATCATAAATTTTTGTAAACAAAAAGGGGGGCAGGGAACTTCGAGGGGAATATAATTGATCCAAAGCAAAGAAGTGTGGAGGGAGTGGGAGGGAGGGGGAGGGAGGGGGGATAAGAAAAAAAGGAGGAACGGAAAAAGATGGGAAGGGGGGGAGAAAGAGAGATTTTTTTATTAATGATTCTAATTGTCAAAAAAACAATTTAAACCTAAGTATCCATAAAGAGATAATTGTATTTCTATCCAAACATATTATTAAATTGCAATTTTGAACCATATTGTTCGATATATTTGAAGGACAAATATAGTTTTGGTATTGAGCCTTGTGATAATAGTCTAATAAAAAGTTGTTTATCAGCAATTAAACCTCGCACACCATAAAGAGACAACTGACAAGTGACTAAAATAATCAAATAATAACAGTGGAATCTTGGTTGAGAAATGGTCTGTGTATTCTTCAAATTAGTTCAACACTTTTTCCCTGCACTAATATGTGTAAGATGGATGAGAGAGGAGTGGAACTTAGATGGGAATATAATTAGTATGGGTTCTTGCTACGAGTGTCCGGAAAATTATGAAATTTCACAAAAATTTTGTTTTTGTTAAAATCGTAGCGATAAAATTTTTATTTTGGGATTGAAAAGGTCTGAAAAAGTTGGACTTTTTTGTCGGACACCCTGTAGGTGTGGGCGAGAGAAGAAGAAGAGGGTGGATATATCTGCCCTTGTTACATCCCAACATTCTCTCTCTCTCTCGACATAGGATTAATTTTGCTCAAACTTTACACATGTATACCCCACCCTCATTCAGTCATACATACATACAGACCCTCCCTTACACCAATAAGACTTTAGAAACTCTTTTCAATCCTTGCATTAAAAAAGGATGATTTTGGAGAACAGCAGAAAAAATTTTAATTAATGTGAAGAAATCTTCCATTTGATTTAGCGTTTATCTAGATGTTATACTTTTGTTTTAACAAAAATATTCAATTGATACTGATTCTAAGATGCTTTGTTTCAAAAGTAAAACTCCAAAAACATACTTTTACATTTAAAAACTCAACCAAAAAAAAACTTTTTTAAATATTACTAAATTGGCATGCTTGCGTATTCAAACACTTCGTGGAGCATAGAGTTGAAAATAAAATTCTCATAAAATTAAATGAAGCTCTCTTCTAATCCTCTCCAACCCATATCATGTATCCGCCCTTTTCACTTTCATCTCGTTCCTTAACTGCAAACTTGAATATTATCCTACACTAAAACATTTTCTGTAAATAAGTTGAAGGAAAAAATATCTGAGTATTATATTGATAACAAAATAATTTATAACAAAAACAATATGGGTTTATAATATCGACTAGAGAATTTCCTGGTAAAACAGTCCAAATGGCAAGGGTAAATGTTTTTGAAGATGCAAATTTGCTTCAAGGTAACTCTGCAGAGTTCTGTTCAGCATCAGTTTCTACTATTGAGTTAAAACTCTTGTCTTTGAGTAGTGGCAAGGATTTTGACTGATTTCACTAAAACATGGCAGGTTAAGTTACATTGTTGGTTTAAGACTCATAATCAGGGAGGTGATACTCCTTCATCTCTGGGTTCTCCGTCCACATCTAGTTCTTCCTCCTCCTCCATCTCTTCCTCCTCCTCGATCTTTAACTCGTGTTCACTCAACCCCCCAGATACACCGTGAAGAGCTGCGATAAGAACGTCTCTTCGCTCCTCCTGCTCCCTCTTACAAGGAAGAAAAAACTTGTGCCTGCCTGAACCTAATCCGTCCAGGATAGTAGGACCATCGTTTTCGTGCTTCCTCAGATGTCTGTCCAGGTTGGTTTGCTGACCAAAACAACGTTCACAGAGATGACACTTGTACGGTTTCTCCTTGTTGTGAATATTTCTCACATGTCTCTGTAGGTTTGAGGATATGGAGAAGGATCGTTCACAAAACTGGCATTTATAGGGCTGTTCTCCGGTGTGGGTTCGGAGGTGTCGGGTGAGGTTTGCTGAGCGGGGAAAGGTTTTACCACAGTATTTGCATCCATACCGTTCCTTGTTGGGTTTACCAAGATTGCTACTGCAGTTACCGCCAAGCATCGCCTTTAAAGTCTTTTGTACTGGAGTATCACGACTAGGCGGGGATCCGAACCCAGGAGAAGAATGATAACCAGGGTTAGAGTAGAGGGAGGAGGATAGGGATATCTGGGGGGTTGGGAGCCTCAAACCTTTCTCAAATCGCTCATATATGGCACGGTTGGAGGGAGGTAAACCTGAGGGGGGATATTTATATTGTAGCATGGTTAGACTATCACAGACTAAGGAATAATTTAAGGGGAATAGCCTGGGAGGAGTTGGAGAGCTGTCCTCGTTCTCCTCTCCAGTAATAGAGCTCTGCCTACTCTCAGGTCTTGGAACTGGTACAAGGTTTCTATTCTCATCCTCTACTGTAGAATTGGTCTCACTGTCACACTTTCTCCGCTCAACCCGGAGATCTAAAGGCTGGTCATCTTTCCCTGGCTTGGAAAGGTCAAAAGGTCCATCTGAAGTGGGACTGTCTGGGGATACAGGGACTAGTCCTCGTTCTCGGAAAGAAAGTAAAAGTCCCATTCTTGCAAGCATAGGGTTCACAGGAGAAAACATTGGACTAGATTGGTGGGGGAGCAGAACCATTGGTGCACTGTCAACCATCTCTTTCTCCTGAAATAATAAAAGTTATATTTCTTGTTACTAGTCTCAGAAGATGTGTAATGTATATGTATGAGGGTGTGTGTATGTGGGGTTTGGATGTATAATGTATATGTATGGGGGTGTGTGTATGTGGGGTGTAGATGTAATCAGTGCATTTATCCCCCTGCAACTAAAAAAAATGCAATTTCTTTGAAATTACGGGAAATTGTAATGCAAGTCCAGGCGAAATATTCTCCAAATAATAGTTTAAATTTTTCCAATTACTCCGGTTTCCGAACCCTCTCCCTCCAACCTATAATCTAGACTGTAAAACATGTTCGCCATCCCGGAGCAAAACTAACAATTACTTCTGAGAACTGGGAGAGAAGAAACCTTGATATATGTCATTTCCGATCTAGCTTAGCTTGCTCTACCTACTCCAGTCTGTTTTTATCAATCAATTTCAGTTCTCTCACTGTCTGTATGTCTATTTCAGCAAGTTTTTTCTTCTTTTTATCGATTGTTTATGAAACCTATCAATATATCCATGGAATTTATCCTGTTTTTATATCAATGTCTTCTATTCTGACGTTGGAGTTTCTTTCTTTTATGAATAGTTTACTAGACCCACGTATACCTTAGTCAGTGGTCACACGTACACACGTGCACACGGACTCACGTACTCACGTACACAAAATATTTATATTTCTAGCTAAAATCAACAAATTTCAAGGACAAGGTTTTATGACCGAAAATGATCCGGTAAAAGGGCAATTATATGAGAAACATGACGGGATCCTAGGAAGGTTGAGGAAACTGTTTGACTCCTGTTGACTTCTTGACACAGGAAATCTTGAATCATTAATCTGTTCAACAAGCAACAAGGAAGTTGAATCTTAATCATGAAGAAGGATTGGATGTGATTGGGAGACTGTTAATTAACAGTCCTTATTTATTAATTACAACATATAATAGCTGTTTAAAGATAACTCAAGTCAATGGTTCGTAAAATAAGCAAATTATAATAATAATGTTCAGAACTTTAAGGAAAGATAACTAAAGTCAATGGTTCGTAAAATAAGCAAAGTATAATAATAATGTTCAAAACTTTAAGGAAAGATAACTAAAGTCAATGGTTCGTAAAATAAGCAAACATAATAATAATGTTCAAAACTTTAAGGAAAGATAACTAAAGTCAATGGTTCGTAAAATAAGCAAATTATAATAATAATGTTCAGAACTTTAAGGAAAGATAACTAAAGTCAATTTTACGTAAAATAAGCAAATTATAATGATAATGTTCAAAACTTTAATCTACGTCGGCAAAGGATAAAAAACGTAACCGAATAGATTTAGTCTAGGATCCATTTAAAAGAGGAGGAGAGCTCGAACAAAATCTCTCTCATCAAAACTGGATTTTAAAATATCCTAGACCTTGAAATCGATTGCTGCTCGTTAAAATTGATTGCAGTTACATTTAGGAAATAGAGGTATTATACTGGTAGATATCGGCTCCTACCAGCACGATGGGTAATTCGGACGTTTAACGCAGATCCAGAATGGCTAAATCGTGTTAATGGTAAACACGATTGAAGATTGGGTTTCAGAGCTAACCAAGGTGGCTCAATTTGTGGCTCATTCAGAAGCAGACGAAAGCGTGTTGTGAGGGGTTAACGTCGGACCTGTCTGCGCTAGTTTGGATCCGAGGAACCTAGTTCTGCGCCGCAAATCCCGGTTTACGAGCTTGATGCGGGGATGTTGCATGTAAGAAAACATGCAAACTTTTTATCGGAAGAACTTGTGTTGAAATAGAGGCAAGGATCGGGCACGATTTAACCTCCTGGACAAACATAATACAGGAAATCATTTTAAAATACGAAATATCCGGCAATTTGCAGGTTTAGGATGCAATCTAGATAGTTATTGTTATTTTTCTTTACTATATACTGACCATGCCCCGAGGCCTATATAGACCATTGTCAGGCACTGCTTGCCTTCAAAACATGAGAAAATATAGAACTCATTGTCTTGAGAAAAGATTAGATATTCTTTATCCTAATCTTGGTTTGAAAGGAGCTGGGTTCTAAATTAGATTTTCAAAATTTCTTGGTATAGGGAACTAGTGGAAACTACTTAAAAATTAGAAATTAAATAAATTTAATTGCATCAAACTTTATAAATAAAAAATGAAGTGTAAAAAAGACCTTGAATGGAGAATGGAATAAAAGGTGTAATAGACTGGAGAGTAGTTTATGGAGAGCCTGAACTGGAGAAGCATAGAATGGAGAATGAATATTAATGAGGACATAGAATGGAGTAAAAGGAAAAAATGTGATGAAGAATGGAGTTTAATGGTCGAACATAAAATGGAGAATAATGTTTATGGAAAGAACTAAAATGAAGACTGTAGAAAGGAGAGGATTGGTTGAAAATAATGAGGGAAGGGATTACAGAGACCATTTAAAAAGAGGATGAGAAGGTAAAATAAAATAAATGAGAATAAGGAAGTTAAATGGAGTAAAAGAAGGAAACATGAGAAGAGGAGAGAAAAAAAGGAAACCTGAGGAGAGGAGAGAAAAAAAGGAAACCTAAGAAGAGGAGAGAAAAGAAGGAAACCTGAATAGAGGAGATAAAAGAAGGAAACCTGAGAAGAGGAGAGAAAAGAAGGAAACCTGAGAAGAGGAGAGAAAAGAAGGAAACCTGAGAAGAGGAAAGAAAAGAAGGAAACCTGATAATAGGAGAGAAAAGAAGGTAACCTGAGAATAGGAGAGAAAAGAAGGAAACCTGAGAATAGGAGAGAAAAGAAGGAAACCTGAGAATAAGAGAGAAAAGAAGGAAATCTGAGAATAGGAGAGAAAAGAAGGAAACCTGAGAAGAGGAGAGAAAAGAAGGAAACCTGAGAAGAGGAGAGAAAAGAAGGAAACCTGAGAAGAGGAAAGAAAAGAAGGATATAAAAGATACGAGAAATAAAAGAAAAGAAAAAATAAAGAGCAGATTTAGAAGAAATACTAAAACACAAGTTTTTATCATGATTTATAGTTTAATAATGAAAGGCCGGAGAATGAAGATTATGTGAACTCTTAAAAGAAAATTCTAGTATAAAACTGATCTTGTGAGAAACATTTGCAAAAACAAGATCAAATCAGTTGATTAATAGCTTCAGGTTCCTAGTTTATCTCGTACTTCACTCATCCCCGTGAGACCTTTCATAATTCTCAACTCACGATTCAATAACACAGTTTAACACTCACTTCATTAAACTCTTTTTACAAGGAACCCTGGAAAATTTGGCACAAGGTTGCAAACCTCCAGTAAAATTACAAATCTAGAATTGCAGCTTATAAATCTATGTATGTGTACTGTACAAAGAAGTTATGTATTTGCCACAAACTCATATTATTCTAATCCATATATCTTTTATCCTGATGTCTGAAACCTTTAATATTTCAAACTTAGATTGTTTGTTATAATATCAAAGGTCTACGACATTGGGTTGCAAAGATATAGGGATTCAAAAATCACAGTTTGTGGCAAAACGACTCTTTTTCTTTAACATTAATTTTCCTGTATTCTATTTAATTTACCAATTTTAATCAATAAGCGTTAAAATATCAAGATCACTTTTAACCAGATTTCATTGAGGATGGTTTTAGATTTTGAAACTGGGAACAACATATGGTGGGTTGTAAACTTAAACGTTGCGTAATTTCTTAATAGAGGAGAATTTGATCTGAATCATGGAAATCTTCTTCAATTATCTTCAGCTGACGAAGATTCCCCATTCACCCCCCCCCCCCAGCTACCCAATTATTATCTTTACAGAATTTATATGAAATAATATTTTCTTTTAGAATCGATGAGAATTAGTAGATTATTAAAACAGCAGTATGGAATTAAGGAAAATTAGCATAGTATTAGAACAGGAGTGTAGAATTGATGAGAATTAGTGAATTATAAAAAACAGGAGTGAAGAATTGATGAGAATTAGTAAGTTATAAAAAACAGGAGTGTAGAATTGATGAGAATTAGTGAATTATAAAAACAGGAGTGTAGAATTGATGAGAATTAGTGAATTATAAAAAACGGGAGTGTAGAATTGATGAGAATTAGTGAATTATAAAAACAGGAGTGTAGAATTGATAAGAATTAATGAATTATAAAAAACGGGAGTGTAGAATTGATGAGAATTAGTGAATTATAAAAACAGGAGTGAAGAATTGATGAGAATAAGTGAATTGTAAAAAACAGGAGTGAAGAATTGATGAGAATTAGTAAATTATAAAAAACAGGAGTGTAGAATTGATGAGAAATAGTGATTATAAAAAACAGGAGTGAAGAATCGATGATTTTTTGGATTATAAAAACAGTAGTATGGAATAAAAGAGGATTAGAATATTATTAGAACAGAAGCGCGGAATTAGAGATTGAGTGGATTAATATAAAAGAAATATGGGATTAAAGAAAATACTTGGGTATATAAGAACAGGGATTAGGGATTGATGATAGTTATTATACCATTAGAACAGGAGTGCAGGATTAGAGAGAATGTGTGGATTATAGAAACAGGAGTATGGAATCAAAGAGGATTAGAATATTATTAGAACAGAAGTCCGGGATTAGAGAATGAGTGGATTAATATAAAAGAAATATAGGATTAAAGAAAATAAGTGGACTATAAGAACAGGGAATAGGGATTGATGAGAATTGATGGATTAGTAAGAACAGGAGTGCAGGATTAAAGAGAATGTGTGGATTATAAAAACAGGAGTATGGAATCAAAGAGGATTAGAATATTATTAGAACAGAAGCCCGGAATTAGAGAATGAGTGGATTAATATAAAAGAAATATAGGATTAAAGAAAATAAGTGGACTATAAGAACAGAAAAGAGGGATTGATGAGAAAGAAAGATGCATAAAAGATAGTATACGGATATAAAGAGAAGCTTGGAGCAAAGAAGATAAAAGAAACTGATTTGAAGAAGAAAAAGAATGCTAGTGGTGGTAAAGTGACGGAATATTAAGAGACACGAACTATTAAAATGCTTTAAGGTTTGGTTCATTGTGCAGAGATCAAGGGGAGAAGAGACCTGTCGGATGAGAATCAAGATGAATAACTTAATCTAGTCTCGACTAGCCTAGTATTCAGACTAAATCTATATGAAGGGAAGGAAGATTGCTCGGAGAATAATAAACAGAAAAAATTTCTCTTCAGAAAGTAAAATGAGTTTAAGATTTAATTTCGTTTGAAGAAATAATCAGCGAACATTTAAACCAGAGGAAATAGTTTCTAGAATTAAAATCCAGGAAGAGAGGAAGTATGACCTAGAGAGAAGTATATGGTAGTTTATAAAATATTCTAGGAATTAGATTAAGGTTAAGAACTCAAATAAAAGATTCGGAGAAATGAACCCGACTTTGTTCCATGTAACGTTGAACTCCTTGGATGGGACAGACGGAAAAAAGAAAATGAGAACATGGTTAACACAGCTTTTAGTTTAATTATACGTTGGAGGATCAGATATATTCACTTCGCTTTAATGTCTTTAATATGAGATTCATCTCACTTTGTCACTTTCTATGGTGACAATCGATAAAAATAAATGGTGGCGCAATAAAGATTAAAAACACTGATTACAAGTGTATATTGGTGTCACATGTTACCTATACTCTTCATATCATTCTCGATGACGGTTTGGAGCAGAAGCATGTGCGCCTGCTCTACTGAAAGTGAACTGGACCATCTCTCTGTCCCATCAACTCCTCCAGATCATCAAACTAGAGCGGTGTAGTGGTTCAGGCTGGGCCGACCACACCCCGCCCTGCCCCCCTCCCCTCCTTCTCCTCACCACGGTTCCTGCCCTATATCCTCACACATCCCCCCGTACAGATCCGCGCTCAGACGTCCTCTCAAAAATGAGCGTTGCGGTGCGCTCGGCGCGCGGCAGACTCTCACTTGCGGAAGAGAAGGATGGAAGGATGTGTAGAGAGGAGGGTGGTGACCGATCCCATGCCCTACCCGCCACCCCGCCCTCATACAATACAGAGTTTGAAAATATGGAGCATCCCTAGAGACGACATGGTTTGGAAAACTGGTAACCCTCGCAAGAATTGCATCTTGGACCAATTTTGTTATAAACCTGATTTTTATTTAACAATGATTTACACCTTCTCCCCTAATTCTGCTTAACTACTCCTTGTCTACACTATATACGGAGAAGTTTAACAACTGTTATAAACAGTCAATACTTTCCCCATCCCCCCAACATCTTCCCAGCAGCAGAGATTGTTGTAGTTGTTTCTCTGAATTAAAATAAACGTTAGAAAGCACATGGATAAAATGTTCTGGTTTCCCCGTTAGAATTATTTTTAATTTCACTTTACTCTCGATTTAATTTTATCAGATTTTGTCAGATTTTAGATTTCAAACAAAAGTAATAAAGTTCAATTTTATTTCTATAGAAATTTTTGGATTGGACTTGTGTTTGGTGTTTATCTCCGATCTTGTATTCAAATATGTTGTTTTAGTGATTATCTCATGTTTACTGTTTATGTGAATACTATCAGGTGTATATACTGTGCAGAGTCATTCTCTAAATCCCATGAAACCAAGGGTTTAAGAACAAATAGGTTTTGTTTTTCGTCCTGCTCTTATCCTTCCCTGATACTTCATACATCCTCCTAGATTCTAAATTTAGAAACCAGGGACCTAATTTAATTAATTGAAAAGGTCGCTGAACAACCTACAACCGGTTCAAATCCTCGTGAATCTTTAAATCTGAATCGGTTCTTTAAGATTTGAACCGGCGGTAGGTAGTTTAGCGATCTTGCTTAAATTAATCAAAAGAAGTGCAAGAAAATTTCTAATTCATCTATTTTTTTCTTCTTGATTTCCGACCTTGAATTATATTCTTATGTATTGAAGGGAACCCTGAGATTTGTTTGGTTTGTGGATTGAAGAACGTATGAAATCAACAATTTTTATCAAAACTCAGATTGAAAGCTCTAGGTGGGTGCTCCGACCAGTATTTAATATTGCACAAAAGAAATACGTCCCAAATAGATGATGGGACTTTTTGTAATCCTGAAAAGCTGAGATTCCAAGCTAAACATAATACCAGGGACGGATCCTATCAATTTTCCAGTCAATTCAACAAAGATTGAACCAAAAAATCATTTAGAAAAGTTTGGGTAGAATTTTTCTCTTTAGAATTTGGTTGAAGGAGACTAATCCTTCACAGTCCGACCTAAATAACTAAATATAAATGTATTCAGGGTTTTTTAATCCTGAGCTCTTATTTTCTTAAGTATGTACTAATTATCCCCCCTTCCTTTGGATTGAAAACAGATGGAAAAGGATTAACA